GATACTGCCTCCTACTACAGTGGAAGGAGGCTTCACTACAATATATTAAGTGATTTTATATGCTTCCAAAATCGTTTAACAAAATTAATATATCTGTGTAATTATATAATTTACAGAATATATAACAATAAAGCTAAATACATATATCATATGGTATAAGAATTAAATAGAAATTATTCAGTTAGCATGAAATTTTATTAATATAAAAAGAAATTACGTACAAAAAAAAACGAAACATATTATACAATATTTATTTTATAGTTTAGCAGTTTAAAACGAAAGGCTAAGTCACTACACAAAAAAAATGTTACGGTTACTACAACTGGAAATAATGATAATTTTCGCTCATCAATGTATTTGGTTGTGATAACTGTAAGATGGATAAGTATCTTTACAACCATAATCGTTAAGATATGCCAACTTACAGTTATCACAATCGTACTACTTTTTGGATATAATTCTTATATCCAAAAAATGTATTGGGCGACTTTTGGTCGTGATAACTGTAGCTATTTTTTCGTTTTTTAGGAGAGACTGAGGACAGTTGTAACAATTTTTAGAAATATATATATATATATATATATTTCTTTATTTATGACATATATGTTTATTTTTTTTAATGCACATGATGCAACAACTATTTAGCTTTATGGTACTATTTACAACAAGGTATAATTTTAGGCTGTTTAAGAGTAAAATATCAAAATCCGAATTAGTACATCTTATTCCGATTTGGGGCAAAATGAAACAGAACTAGGAAAAGTTGTAACATTCTAAAAACAAATTATCTACTCTAAAACAGAAATTCACTGCTTTAAAAACAAATTATCTGTTCTAAAACATAAATTCACTGCTCTAAAAACACAAATTCAGTGCTTTAAAAATAAATTATCTGTTCTAAAATAGAAATTCTTCTTATATTATTTTTGTTTTTAAATCAATAAATTTACTATTAAAAAGCAGTGAATTTGTCTTTTAGAGTAGAGAATTCGTTTCATAGCAGTGAATTTGTGTTTTTAAAACAATAAATTTGTATTTCAAAACAGATAATTTGTTTTTAAAGTAGTGAATTTGTGTTTGTAAAGCGGTGAATAATATCTATTACAATAAGAAATACTAAGATTTTATTAAGACCGACATGAAATTAAATACTAAGTATAAACATATTCAAGCCTATAACGGTCAAAGCTAGATCTTCTGAATGCCTAAATAATTCATTGTGAATTGGCATTGAGAAGATTTAGCTTGGACCATTATGAGGTAATGTATCTCATGTCATGAGGTAATATTTTTCGCAATAAATTTATTTAAGATTTTTAGTATTAATACCCTTATAATACGATATTGGATCGAAGATTGAGAATTTGCTTGTCAATTTAATTTAACTTGTGATATTATTGCAGTAGTTTAATTGCGTTTGATAAAGCCCGGAAAAATTTCGGCGTGCAGTTTGAATAACTACAAAAATACGGTATATATGCATGTACATATATATAAGATATAGATAATTCACTGTGAATTATTTAGGCATTGAGAAGATCTAGCTTCGACCGTTATAGGCTTAAATATGCTTATACTTAGTATTTAATAAGAAATACTTATTATAACGCATTCGCGGTCATAGAGCATGAATATGTGACCTCAGCATGCTCTCGCATCGCAATCATATTTCGTGACTGTGATATATTTTCTAACCTGAATAGTCGTTAATTTAAAATATTTTGATTCATGAAACAGAGCGACACTTTTTTCTTGTCAAATTTTTATTTTTACGCGAAAACGCATCGATTCAGTGAATTTTTATCAAAATTTGAGGTGAGCGGGTCCTTCTTAACATTTACCGTTAATTATAATGGTGTTACAATGTACCCTGGCGATGCTGTACTTTTAATCCCAAACCGATGTTGTGCAAAAATTTGCAAAAAATAAATATATTTGAAATCACTTAAAAATGTCAAATAAAGACATACACATAAAGACATAGCTTGAGAAAACGTATTTTAGAATTAATAAAATGAAAATATGATAAAAAGCATTTTATTTGAAAGTTTAAAGCAAAAAAGTATAACATCGTAAATTTACACTTACATGGCTTATCTGAGCACTCTATATTATACATATAACTTCTTTTACATGCGACGCACGTGTGATTGATCAAGAGGCAAATGCAGGCCTCAATATATAGGTACTGACTATTTTCGTTTTCCATATGATAATCTTATCTCTTATCATTTAAAAGATTTACGCATCGTCACACACTGTTATAACTATCCCCAGTCACCCGAAAAGTCATACATATAATTTCTTTTACATGCAGCACACGTGTGATTGATGTCATGAGGTAAACATACGCCTCAATATATAGGCATTGACTATTTTTGTTCTTCATATGATCATTTTATCTCTTATCATTTAAAAGATATACACATCGTTACACCTCATCTTCTCTTTCATCATTTAAAAGATATATGCAGTGTTACACATTGTTATAACTTCCGTTATAACTATCCTCTATGATAAAAAGTTATTTATACATATAATTTGTACTTCCCCAGAATCGTAAAAAATGATTTATTTTTATTATATTTACAATAATAATAGTTTATTATTATTGTATTATGTAATATTATATAATAATATATAATTATTATATAATGAAAATTATTTTTTATTATATTATAATAAATTGTAAATTAAATATTATGGTAAATATAAATATAAATTACATAAAATATTTTTGAATATTTTATGTAATTTATATTTTTTGGAATTCGAGAAAAATAAACATTTATTAAAAAGTTATATAAACTTTACAAATTGTACAAATCAAGCATTAATTTTAAAATATTTTTTAATTTGTAATGAGTTTTGACAAATAATTTATTAACTACAAAGTTTGTTTTGTATTAGATAATTTCACATCAATTTTATTTTATTATTTGCTATTTTTTATTTTTCCTATTTTACATTAATTGTTACAGTTATACATTGTCATTTATTTATTTGTTATAAGTATATTGTAAGTATATAACCTCTTTTTATACTTATAACCTCATTTTATATTCAACACATTATATTTCGAATTTATAATATACATTGTTACAATACGTGAATTCTTATATCACGTAAACGATTGTTTGAGATTTTTATATTTTGACAGGTTTTAATAGGTTGGACGAATTTGCGTCATAAACTCTTTCTATTATGCACATTAGGAAACTCAGAGAGACTTTAAAAAACTGTAAAATAAATATAAATTTCCAATTGATATACAAAATTGTAAGCTTTATCTTTGCGATGCTGGGATGTAGAAAACATTCCAGGTATTATTCTCGGATTATATATACAGTTTAATGTAAGTATATTTAAATTGTGTTGATGTACATATCACTACCAACATGGTGAAAATTATATAAACACTGCATGGTGTTAAATTCATACCTATATCTTTTAGAGATTCATTCATCTCAAGAGTTCTATTTTTGTTTCTTTAAGCATGGCTATGATAGAATCCAAAGTCTCTTCTCCAGTCGGGATAATTTGCTCAGGGGGCAACAAAAAGCCGTAATAACCTCCATCACGTAATTCATAAACATAGGCGATTGATTTATTATGTGCGCCTTTTATCCAATCGATAGTATTTCCGGAAGCCGTATCTAAATACAAAATGAATAAGTTTAAAAAATTATATTTTTGTATATAATTATCATAAATGTGGAATGTGTGCAATAATATTGTATCAATTTCGCAATGTTTTTAGTATGATAAACAGAAGAAATTCTTGATAAATTAATCGAAAAAAATATAAAAGTATTTAAGCATGGGTGAGATATAAAGATAGATAGATAGAAGGGCGGAGAGAAAGAGAGAGAGAGAGAGAGAGAGAGAGAGAAATAAATGAAATTTTTTTTCTTCTACATACATATTGTCTCAGCAATACCTCCGACTCTGTAGTAAGTTCCATATCTCTTTGCGAGAGCTTTAATCGTTTCCATGCCAATATCATACTAAAACATTATAAAAATTAAATATAAACTTTGTAATATTCTATTATTTTTATAAATAATATTATTTGAATTAATTAGAATAATTTTCAATTATTTATATATACGATGTTTTAAATTGTTACTTATAAATAGTTATGTTATTACTTATAAACAGTAAGAGCATGATAAACTACTTCAAATTCTATCATCGAATTGAGTCACTTACTATTAAACTATTAAACTATTAAAATTGTTGTTAAATTTATATATGAAGAATTATTTACTTCTCAAATTGTATAATCACGTTTGCATTGATATGTAAGTTAGGTGTCGCATTTTTTAGCTCAAAATTATGTGTAGAATATATTCGTAAAAAATGTGTAAAATTCAAATTTCAAAAAAGGGTTCTAAAGGATTAAAATGTCTACTTTCGAAAGAGTTACTATATTTTTTTAGTTTCTATCATTTGGTAAGTTTTACATATAAAAAATTACGAGCTGAACTAAATGGGAAATTTTTTTTTATTTTGTAGACCTGTTACGTGCCTAAAACATATTTGCAAAAATTTTCAAATATCTAACGTGCCTAAAACATATTTGCAAAAATTTTCAAATATCTAACGTTAAAGTTTAAAATTTTCCCTATAAAATCATTTTTTTTAATGTTCCTTTTTTGTCACTGAGTTACCCATGGGTTAACTCTTATAAAAGGAGCATTCTAACTTTTATTGCTTATAATTTTGTCAAAAATTATCTAATTAAAAAAAAAAAACAAATTCTTAAAGCTGAAATTCTATCGAATGGTGTAATTGCCAATTTTAAAAAAATAGAATGTATATAAATTTAAGAGTTAAAAATATATGATATTACTACTTTTAAAACAGAGATTTTAAACTTTAAAACTTAAGACTCTATAATTTTGAACTAAAAAATATGACCAATATGATCGGAAACAAAATTTCCCAAATCTTAATCTTAATCTTGTCTCGGTAGTCTAAAAGCTTAGGACTCTCGCACGGAATGCAAGAGATCCGAGTCCGACTTCCGAGGCAATATTTTTCGCAATAAGTTTATTACAGTTTTTTAAGATTTGGGAAATTTTGGGGGGATTATTTGTTTCAGATTGATTGTGTGAATCATAATATTCATGATAATTTCATCGACTCGCAATTTATTTCTGAAAATTAATTCAATTTAAATGAATATATATTATATAGTAATTCAACATCTTAACACTCGGACCGGTAAGACGCTTCGAATTTCAAGTTTTAAAAAATATGATATTACTAGCCTTTCAACTGAATAATTACAAGGAACTAATTATTTTATTAATTTAATACTAGTTTTTCATACATAAATATTTTATTTTAGTTTCTCAAAGCTATATTTGTTTTACAATTAAAATTACTCACCAAGTCGTCGTAGTTATCAACACGATCTGTTGTATAACCATAAGGGAACATCAATAGTTGCGAATAGCTATGGAGCCCAATATACACATAGAATTTGTCGGAAATGGAATTGATATACGCGGACATGCTCTTTGTCTCAATTTCGGAGAACGGCATAGGTCCAGCAAAGGTTTCAGAACATGGGTTATTGCTAGATCCCCCAGCTGAAATTGTTAAATTATACATAAATATATATATAATAATAAGAAACATCGAGCACATTTTAATATAAGCTCTCTAAAGTCCATAAATAATCTCGACTTTTTATTAGAATATTATTTGATTTTGAATTATTATAGTTTTCTAATATAATATATATAAAATTTACTGTTCCATTTGTAATCCCAATTCCTATTGGGATCAGAGCCATAACAACCTAAACCGTACGGTTTACGTGTCTTTCTCCAAAGTCGATTCTGAAACCAATTAAAAATATTCGTATAATTAAGCGTTAATTAATAAATCAGTTAACAATGTTTTATATGACATTATATAATAAAACAGCACTTACCGTAGTGTGCGTGTACACGTATCCATCAGGATTGAACACTGGGAAGATATACCAATCATGGCTCTCAGCCACAGCCCTGACCTCCGTGTTGTTGCTTGTCAGCAATTGATGGAGGATGTACATGGCAGTTGCTGGCGTGATCCATTCCCTGGCATGAATGCCACTTTCAATAAAGACTCCAGGATTGTTCGCTTTAAAAGAAACCTTGACACCTTTGATTTTACGTCCCTCCCATGTGTTGCCGCCTACTATAGTTTGCACTATATCGGGATATTGCTTTGCCAAGTCATCTAAATTCTTGTAAATTGTATCGAGATGGTGGTAATTTTTAAAATCAAATTTCATTGATACATTTGCTGGCATTGTCTGATTGATTAATGTCTGAACATTCTGAATATAAGATTTGTACGATGCTTTGATTTCCGCCATCATTTCGTAGAATTTGTATAGTCTGTCCGGGGCTACCATAAGATCTACTTCTTTACTCACAGATGATGCTTGCCAGATGGAAAACTATAAATAATATGTATTTAATTTGTTTGTTTAAAAGAAAATAATGTTAGTTTCAAAAATTAATTATATATTAGTCAGTTTTTGTCTCCTCAATGTTTTATGATAAATAATTTGACAAAAACAATAATAGTTATGTAGGACTCTCAATCTTCGAAATATAAACATAACTAATGTAAATCAAACTAATGAGAGTCAAGCGCAGGTGATCAGATATAAGATCTTGAAAAATAATGAAATTTACGTATATTCTATCGATAAACGAGATGTCTTCTTTATTATGAACGTTTTAACTTACTTTGGAGTATTCTTCAGCAAAATAGCAATATAACAAAATACTCGCGTACCCAAAAAGGATTTACTTGCATTTGACTCTCATTAGGCTTGATTTATATTAGTTATGTTTATTTTAAATAATTTGATGTGGGTAAAGCTGATTTTATAAATTTTTAGCAATATGTGTACGTTATGCTAATTTTATGAGATTAATTTTTTTAATTTTAGTTAAGTCATATAAATGTTACACAAATCTCGTAAGAGATTAATTAGAGATATTAATTAAGAGATATTAATTTGTCTTTATTTGTCTTTATGCTTGAAAGATCTACTCACTCCATCTGAATTTTGTGCCAAAAGATTAAACAACTCATTCTGCGACGATTTAGCCATATTAATTTTGAAGACTCTGTGATTGTCAAAGGTGACCTGTTTGCTGGCCACCAATCCCACGATCGTGCATAATATTATGCTCCACATGATGGTCATAGTATCCTTCAATTTTAATACAATATCAACTTAGTTAATCTTTTTGCGTCACATTAAAATTTTTTTTTTATTTATAGCAAGACTATTTTTAAATATAAATGCAATTTACCTAATAAGTTTTGATGTGGATTTGGTTTGATGCAAGAAAATAATTTAATACTTTGTGTCAGATATTAAAAGATAACAGTTTATATAAGTATAAATTTTGACATGGTTTGGAGCGCGTCTTAACAGGTCCGTGTCTCGTAGTCGACTCTGACCTCACGTTCTTACGTTCGGTCGCTCGCATCTTTCGCGAATATTCTCCGCACACAAAATATTACCGCTATTGTTACAATTTGAAAGAATCGGTTAATTTTTAGATTTTCATGGAATTGCTGTTTCATATCATAATTAACGATTATCTATTATATTATAAATTTCTGTACCGATACAAATTATTTCGAATTACTCTGCTTCCTTTAAATGATCGAAGAAATGTAAATAGTCGCTTGACACACGAAATTAATGCATTTAAAAGGCCTATTGTCTATGTTTCCTCGAACAACGGGCCGTGTGTACAGACAGAATCTTTGTATACGTATCCTCTGTGTATATGTGCCGCGTATATACGTACGACTCTCCAGAGTCGTGGCGATGTAATCGCCATAAAATAAATACTAATCGTGATTTTTGCAATTTTTTAGTATTTAATTTTTATAATATGATTTATGAGTAATCCGTTTCAAGGAAATTGCTTACCTTTTTGTAAAACAGGAGCACTAACAATTATTAATAAATAAATTTATGTACAGATTGTACAGCTACACTTTCAATTTCTTGCAGTGAAATCTCGCTCCAAGAAAGCGAAAACACTTCTCAAAAAAAGAGTGATAATTTTCACTCTTTTTACGGTGAATTTTCACTTCAAAGAAGTGAAATCTCGCTTTTTTTTTTAGTGACATTTCATTTCTTTGAAGTGAAAATTTACTCCACAAAGAATGAAAATTGTCACTCTTTTTCAAGAAGTGAAATATTCTCACTTTTTGTTAAGGATTATGGTTGTATTTTCATTCTCTTGGAGTGAGATTTCAATGCAAGAAATTTAGAGTGTATATAACATAGTAACAAGAGTATTTTCAGAAGGAAACCGAATATATTAAAAATTAAAATTTTATTTTAAAAATACATTATGTATACTAAATACATTTACTTAGACGGCTTATAAGGATAAATTATAATTGGAAGATTTGAAGGTTCTTATCTAAGACTCGTCGAAAATTCTCTTCAAAAGCATGTTTTGACGACAAGCTATAATCAATAATAATAATTGGATAATAATAAGTAATTGCATTTTAGTACATGCAATGTACTTTTAAAATGTTATTTTAATTTGAAATATATTCGGCTTCTTTCTTTCCAAGAACTGTAGACGACTATTTTGTGCAACTCACTGTACATACTAAGTGCACACGATGCTAAAGTTGCATTATCGCATGAATTTGTGCTATCGCGATAATGAATGTTATTACTTCAAAATTATTTTACTTTGAAGTAAAAGTGTGTCAAACATTTGTGCACCTTGAAAAATAATTGCATAGCTACTCTTAAAAAATAAAATCTAAGTGATGTATGTATCTTTGTATTTTTATTCATTTTTTTTATTCCAACTCAAGTAGCGGCTTTAATTTTTTTTAAACAAATAATGAGACTACAAAATTACAATCAAATTTATGCACGTTATGTAATCTAACTAAAAAATAATTTATAACTATTTCAAATATTATATCTTTTTTTAATCCAAAATTTAAAAATATTTAATACAATTTAACGCTGCTATCTTAATTTAATGTGATTAGACATGGATGTCATATATGTATATTAGCGGTACCAAGTTTTTTAATATTTTTGAATTTTGGGTTAAAACGAAATACTACCATTTGTATTTAAACAGTATTATTTTTTTATTGAAAATTCGAAAAAATATATTATGGGTTGAATTAGATAATATAATATCCACATGAATTTGTTTTAATTGACGTAATTTTGTGATATTGGAATAGAAAGAATAAATTGAAATATTGATATATTTGTATCACTTCGTTTTATTTTTTAAAAGTAATTACAATGATTATTTTTCGAGGAGCGTGTGCTTGGCGTTTTATCTTTTTTCTGAAAAGATAATTTTGTAATTCTTTTTTACTACTAAATTTGTTAGTTAATAAAGATCGCAAAGTTTAAAACATAAAAGTAATTACATTATCTTTAAATATTGCTTTTCAAAAAATCTGTCGAAAAACAGCGCTCTTTGCTTTAATAGCACACTTGATTCGCTAAAATTTTTCTTCTCTGTTACAATATCGAGAAAATAACTGGTAAAATTTGTCGTAATTAATTAGCCTTGGTAATAGGTATAGTTTTACGTGGAAAATCTTGAGGGAGTTTTGATATTTGGTATAGTAATTGATGCCCTTGTAACAAATTTACATTTTGCCATCAAAAAATTGACGCGCCGACGCCGCCATATTGGAAAAAGGTAAAAAATCGGTTTGTCGCATTCTAGGTGTGTCTGTCGACACAAAAATACTTTTATAACAAATTGTAGAGGAGAAAATTTCTTATAAATTATGTCCAATAAATTTTGTTGTCAGATTAATAGTTTGTCCGTAACACAATTCATCAAAGTGTAAATTTTTAAATATTGTAATATCAAAAATATTTTTTTCCACACCATCCAAGAGGTAAAATATAAGGCGCGTTTTTTTTACATGGTTTTCCCAGTAGACTTCCTCTACAGTAATAAATTTATTTTATTTTTGGATCCCCAATTTTGTATACCCAATGGACCGGATTTGCTGATTTCGCAGACAATGTCATTAGAAATTAATTGTTCTTCCTTTTTCTTTTAAACAATAAAAATAATAGGAGTGAATTCATCCATGGCGTGGAAAGTATTGAACATCTAATGTTTGCGTATTGAAATCTGCGTTGTTGAAAATGAATTGAGAAATGCCTTTTCGTTAATCTCGAGTGGTAACCGCATAACTGTTGATTTTTTCATTTTTTTTTAAATTACTGCTTTTTCATATGAAGAGCAAAATTCCAACGATAATAATATAATATTTTTAATAGTTACGTGGATGCGTTTTTAATTATAAATGCTACCATTCCGACTTGCAATGACGACAAAATAAATAATTTGGTCTTACGGTAAAAATTACACACACACACACACACACACACACACACACACACACACACACACACACAATGCGCAAGAACAATGCACTTTTTTTCCATTTCACCGCAAAGCCACGTTTGTTTTTCAAAATAATATTTTCGAATAATATTTCCGTAATATTTCACAACGTAACGGTTTGAACATCCATAAAAAAATTATCCGATGGAGGATAATGGAGGTCTCGTAATAAAAGTTGAGAATTATATCTTCCTATATATATATATATATAATCGTTGCCGACGCTTTCACAATATGTTTTCGTTCCTCTTTGGAGTCGGATACTTTCTGTTCATGTAATGCTTCTGTTAATATTTTATAACTGATATTACGGAAACACATATACCTTTATCATCCACAATTACTTTATAAACAATTCACACGGGTTGCCATGATAAAATCATGAAAACGAACGGTAACATGACGATGCTAAAGTCGCATTGAACAGCCACTTACAAATTCGGCACGGTCGAGGCCAGAGACTTATTATACAAGGACGGAGCACTCGTATCGGAGCACAAAAGTAACGAGCTTTTTGCAGATAAGAAAGGGAAATGAAGCCTATCATATTGTAGCCGTACTTATGTATGAATGACACGCTATTTGTGTGTATGTATATTTTGGGCCATGGTCGAGGCAGATGTACATATACTAATGTGAAGGGAGCCTCTATCTTGGGCAGTCCCTTAGGATTGAATATCCCAAAAACGACTTACTACCTGATTACTTGAGGCCTGATTACCTATGCCTATATTGAACCGTTACTACACATATACTCATATAGTGTAATGTAGAAAATATGGAAAGAAGTACTTTTATTATTGAAATATTTGCTTCACTTTGAGGGATTGTTACGGGCAAACTATTGATCTGACAAAAAATTTATTCAACATACTTTGTAGGAAATTTTCTCCTTTACAATTTGTTATAAAGGTATTTTTGTCGACAGATACCTGGAACGAGATATTTGCGATAAATTGATTTTTCCCGTTTTTTGAGCCATTTTTGCAATACGGCAGCTCCAGCGCGTCAATTTTTTGAAAAATGTAAATTTGTTAATGGGATTGAATTTGTACTAATTTGTACTATCACAAAAACAATTATGTATTTTTTTAATGAGCATTAAATTAAGCTAGATTTGTAACAAATTTTCTTTTCATTCGTATCTTAAGGAGTTCAATATAAAGAAAAAATGCTAGCACCCTATATTGAGATATTTAAAATCTGCAAGCAAGTGCTGTTTCAAATTTCTTTGTACTTATTTTAATCTGAAATGTAAACCGAAATTTAGATTTAAAATCTATTTGCGGTTTAAAAATATCTTCAGAAATAATGATATTAGCTCTATTTTGAAATTTCAATATAATTATCTCTTTAAAGATACAAATGAAATAAAAAAATAGGTACAAGTGATGATAGGTACAAATTAGATGATATTTCTCTTTCTCGGAAACAGTAATATCTCAAAGTGAGGTGATAGTATTTTTACCAAATTTAATTTTGAACCTTATGAGGTAAAAGAAGATGGTATAAACAAGTGCAAACCAAGCTAATTTATAAAATTTATTGCATGTTAGAAATTTTTTTTTCAATTTGAGTGTCGGGCTCACATTGGTTTTGTTGTTGAGTTCGCTAAAATGTAGATCGTAATATATACTAGTAGTATATACTATCGTAGTATATATATACTAATAAAGCCATTTTAAAGAGAAAAAAATATAAAATATTCCCTAACTCACACTTTTAATGGTATAAATTAGTATAAATTCAGTTT